TTTTACTTGCGCGTTTTCGTCGATAGGCACATTTTGCACCAAAACATCACTGCTTTCTTTTTTAAAATTCCCTCTTCTGTCCTCTCGTTCTGCCTTGTTGATGAGTTGACAAAGTCAATAAGATTCTCCATTCCGCCACTTCTCACTTTTTTAGTTTTCTTCTTTCCAAGAATATTATAATTAATAGCAATATTAATTAACATGTAATTACTTTTAGTATAATAAATTATAATACATTAAATGATATATTTATAAGATTTAATGTATTATAACCATATCATTAATACTAATTAATAAGATTACTAATTTATTTAATAATAATAATACTAATAGAAAAAACCAAATAACTCATGAGTATAATCTTGGAAAAGTGATAACAATGATTTTGGTGACGAAGTCCTCGAAGAAGCGGAACCCAAGTGCTCCCAATTCCCCGAAACCATATAGTAACGCAAATTCCCCACAAAAGCCTCAAACAACAGCCGGTAGGATCCCGCAATCTCATCGTGTCATTACCACATCACTCATTAATAGAAATAGAGAGTTAATCCCGACTTACGATAAGTTCTTTGAAACTTTTAATTCCATTGGGAACATCGTGTGGAGTGATGTCTTCAAATGTTTAGAAACACGTTGGACTATATACCGCGCGTTGTACGCAAAGCTCCAAGAGAACAGTATTGGTATCATACCCGACGACGCGATGAGCGCGTTGGTCAAAGTCACGAAAGAGACAGAGTACTACGACAACGTCTCTTTTGCACTCTTCTTTGCGGCGTTCTGCGACTTCCAAGCAAACGCACGACACTACAGACAGCTTGCGAGTTACTTTGTACAGAGCGAGATGTCGTTGTTTGCTCAGCGAATAGCAACAATATCAATGGAAGGGTTGGACGGGTATCTACGACAATATGACTACCACCCGCAGCCAATCACTGACGTTGAAAATGTCTTTTTAAATGAGCAAAAGTACTTTGCGCTTCCGTTAGTCAAAGTGCCGTTTTACGAAGCGGGCAAATTCTTCCGCACTCGAGAACTTCTGTTGCGAGATGGGTTTGCGTTCATCTCGAAACAAGAAATCATCGATTTGGTGACACTGAAATACAGAGGCAAAATCCAGGAAATCATTAAGGAGATGGGAAACGCAGATTTGATGGCAAAAGTACCGACAGAACTCCACCCAATGTTACAGTTTTACATGGATAATGTTCCTATGGTTAAAAGTATATCGGAGAAGGGATATGCACAGGCTGAGTGTTCAATTGAGGAGGCAAGAGAGTCACTTGGGATGTTTGCTCCTTGTGCGTTTTCTATATACCGGAGATTTAAAAGAGAGAAGCACTTGAAACACTTTGGGAAATTGCAGCTTGTGCTGTTTTTGAAAGGGATGGGACTTGACATGGATGGAACTAAAAAGTACATTGACGAGGTGGAGAGGCTTGACAAAGACGCCATCTATGCTATAGAACATGCGTACGGGAAAGTTGGAGGGAAGAAGGATTATTCGTCGTATGGGTGTGTTGGGTTGATGTCTCACAATCGAAATGTGGGGGATTGTGATGGGTGTATCATGAATACGTTGAAATTTAGTAAGGACGATGTGAGAAATAACTTGAAAGACTTATTGGATTTTCGAGGAGTGGAGGGGAACGAAAGGGAATCTATTTATGAGGACGTGATGAACTCCGTCGACGCGAAATTGCCGATGCAAGCGTGTACCAAACTTTTGTGTTTGTTAAATGGGAAGGCGTGGAATGAGGAAGTGCCTGAGATCGCACATCCGAACAACTATTATCGACGATTTAAAAAGATGGTCAATGAAAAGAACAGAGACTCTGTCGAAAAACTGATTGATGAACTTAAAATGGACGAAGAGGAGATTGTCGAAAACAATGAAGAAACAAAGAAAGAAGTGAAGATGGAAATTGAGGAAAGAAAAGACAAAGTTGAAGTGAAAGAAGAGAAAGTGAGTGTAGAAAATAAGATGGATGAATCATAAGAGTAATTGATTGATTCTTCTCACTCATTCTATTCTTTTATTAATAATTAACTATAAACATAATATAAATAGTTTCAATGTTCCAATTAAAAAATTAATTTAAGAAACCATTACTTTATTATATAGTTCTAGAAACAAATAGTACAATTTATAGTAATTTATTATAAATAATATGATACAAATAGTGAAGAAAAGAACAAACAAACAATCTAACAAAACAAGGAAATAGAAAGTGAACGACCAAAGATCGTTTTGGTCTACCAAAACGAATGACCAAGGCAAGAAAAAGCAGAAAGGAGGACTATAAAAATGTAAAGTACATGGGGCTCTCAAATTCCGTGATTGGGATTCGTTCCGGCTCAGTGAGTACACCGAAATTTAGAAAATATCAACAATTTCTTTTTGAAGAATTTTTCAGAGAGAAATTGCTCTCATTAATTGGGATTGGAAGCTCAATAACTCATCGTTTTTCTTTAAGACAAAAACACAAACTACCTCATTCTATCGAAGACATGAAGCTTCAACAACAGGACTATGGGACTTTTGAAAGAAGTTATGTCTCGCAGTTTCTCTGTGGATTGACGTGTTGCGAAGATATGAAAGTTCTCTACAACAGTCGAGTTGATGGCTTTGATAGAATAACATTTTACAATTTAGTTGGTGGGCAAAAAAATGTTATTGTTCTGGTCAAAGTGATGAACCAGTACTTTGGTGTTTATCACGATGACGTTGTTGCGATTCAAAACTCGATGAAGCGGACGCTTTCAAAAACGCCATTCATGCAACTCTTTTGTTTCAACTTGGATGAATTAGTACCTCTCGTGTTCAAGCGAAAGAGTGGCTTGAAGTCATTAGAACTCGGTGGGAGGGATACTCCGTTTATAGTGAGGTGTCCATCTGCCTTTACTGTGACTGAAGATGGATTCTGTTCTTTTGATTCACACGTCAGAGATGCTTATATCGTCTCCAATCACTTCAACCACATTTTCAATGGCATAGGTGTCGGGAAGAGAAAGGTAGATGCTTTAATAGCTCTGTCTTGTTTATAACTTATAGTAGTAGTACTTTTACTATTAATTATTTATTTACGTATAATAGTATTTTTATACTATTATAATTTGATAAATTCTAATACTAAATTTATTAGAGTACAATAGTATAATAAACTATAATTCAAAACTAGATTGAGTAAAGTTAGATGCCGCTTGCAAGTTTGTGTCTCTGAAGGGTGAAAACTTTAATTTCTTCTTCTGTAGCGAAGAGTTCTGGGTCTTGAGTCAAATAAATTTCTTTTCTAGTGAGTCGAGCGACAAGTGCTGAGATCAATTTGTCGTCGTCGAGAGTGATTTGTGTTTGTGTTCTCAAGTTCTTAAGAGTCACCTTTTTCTGTTCGAGTTCATTACCACCAAAGACAATAGCAAAGCAACATCCGATATCATCGGCATCTCTCAGTTCTTGTTTAATTTTCGGGTTAAGCTTTTGAATAGTTTCCGCATAGATTCCAGCTGCCCAGAGTCTATTTAAGTATTCGAGACGATTAATAAGTCTATCTTTGTCTACAGAACATACAAAGACTTCTGTTTGAGCTTCAAAGAGTTTTGCAGTCTTACTCAATTTCTCCTCTAAGATGATCATAATTCTTTCAAGTCCTACAGAGAAGCCTACACATGGGATCTTGTTTGGTCCAAAGATACCAACTAAGTTATCATATCTTCCTCCACCTGCTATTGACCCAACAGATGTATTTCCAACAACCATCACAGCCTCAAAGATAACACCAGTATAATAGTCTAACCCTCTGACTAAACTCAAATCAAATTCGACCCGATTTAAGCAGTTAAATGCTTCACAATACTGGATGAGTAACTTCATATCATGCATGGCCTCGGGAGCACTTTCTTCAAGTTTCATCTCGACTAACTTCTCATACATCTCTTTGGGTTTGTCGTGCATTTTAACGTACTCTCCTATCTTCTTGGCTATTGCGGCATCTAACCCTTTGGTCTCTACCATCTCCTTCTCGACATCTTCCCAACTAGCTTTGTCCAACTTGTCGACTGCACTGAATATGGCGGGGAACTTTTCTCGTGGCACTCCAGCAAGAATAAATATAGCGTCAAGGATTTTCCGGTGGTTGATCTTAATTCTGAACTCCCCAATTTCAAGATCCGTTAAAACCTCATTCAATATTGAAACGATTTCGGCGTCTGGAATCATTGGATCGTATTCCCCAGCTATATCAAAGTCACATTGACAGAATTCCCTTTGTCTTCCTTTTGTCATATAAGGTTGGTCACGTCGATAGACCTTCCCTATTTGATATCTCTTAATCTTCTTAACTCCATTCGAGGCGATGTATCGTGCAAATGGGACAGTCAAGTCATATCTCATCGACAACTTCTCACCTTCCCCTTGATCGGCTAAGTCATATATCAATTTGCCTCCTTCTTCTCCATATTTCGAAGTCAAAATATCTTTTAACTCAAATACTGGAGTGTCTATCGACACGGCGCCGTGTCGACGGAAACATCGTGTAATCGTTTGAATTGCCATCTCTCTTGCGTTCATAATCTTTGGGAAGTAGTCACGAGTACCCTTTGGAGTCTTCACTAAAAATTTCGTTGTGTCTTCTTTCTTTTTCTTTTCTGTCTTTGGGCGTTGTTGTTGGCTGGCCTTTGATTCTTTGGGGGTGACGCCTTCAGTCGACATCAAGTACTTGAGGAATTAAAAAACACAACAAACCCTAATTGTTGCTTTCTAAAAAAAGTCCATTATAATAGTTCAACAAAGTTTTTCTGTGTAACATATTAAAAATCTGAATTAAAATCAAAGTTTATTTCTGTTGTATTTTTATCGGTTTTTTGCAATGATTTAGTGAGAAAAATTACTAACTTGGTGTTTACTGTTTTTTATGGTTACTTCAGTATTCCTCAAAAATGAAAAATACCAATGTATTATATTTTATAATAAATATAATTAACATTTATAATACAACTAACAACACAAAAAATGAACTCTTGTATTAAATGAAATTATAAAAATATTATAAAATGTAATACAGAAAAATGAATGCATTAAAGCACTTGAATAACAGTACCTGACTTAAGAGCGATGATTGGGAAGAGTCCAATAGTATTCACATTCTTAAATCCGACGATTGAAGTTGTTTGGTCGGAAACTGATATGGTGTAGTCTTCACTATTTAAAGAAACAGTCCTCACCCCACTTGTTAAGTCGAAGTCAGCTTTAGGTCGATTGATTTCATACTCGGGTCCAACAAACGTTCCATCAGCAAATACAACACGAATGGCATCTGCTTGTTGAGTTAAGTTGTTATCGAGTGGGAAATCTTTGGTGTAAGTGACGAAGCCGATATTAACTTTTCCTTGAATAATTCTAACGGAAAATGATTGTAGAGGGACTGAGAGAATGGCACAAGCATACCCTTGTTCATTCTCTGCAAACGTTGGAGTTTCGATTTTTAAAGTGTCTTTATGGTATATGAGACGGTGACTGTAATAACTGTAATCACCAAACCATAACATTTGGTGAAGAAGACGTTCGTTAACATTTATGTGTGATTCCAACTGATCAAGTTGCTGGAGTTGAAGTTCTTCGTGTAGTTTTCTGGGATCTTTTATCATTGAGGTGTCGAAATCGTTTTAAAGTTCTATATCAGTGATATGTGTTGTTTCTAAGAGCAAAGAAATGTAGTAATAACATTAATACATTTTATTTATAAGGTTTAATACATTTTTTGTGATACACATCTTGTTCTGTTTATTCAATATTAATTGATTTTGTTAAATTATATGGTTTGTGTTTATAAACTCGTGTTGTGTATGAATAATATAATTATAATAATTATTTGGATTAAATTGATAAAAATTCAATTTTAATTTTATTTTATCATTATTATCATTTATATTATTATATATGATTATATAATTTTTTAACTGTATAACTTAAACCTTAGATTCTTCTATTTGTATTCAAAATAAAAGTAAACCTTTCAATTATCGGTTGTTATTATCAATTCATAAACTTGGAAATGTTTTGAACAAGTCTTAAATAACTTTTCTTGCAACAATGAAAAGTTCACCTTTATTTTTTCATATATTATTTGTCGTATAACATTAATTTACGAAACTAAAACGAACTAAAACATTATTTGTCCAAAGTTGAATTATTATTTTCATATTAATTAAAAAGTTACCTTTTTAATTAAATATTAGCTCTGACAAGCTTATTGTGGTTTAAAATACATGAATCTCACTCAAATAAATATTTATTTTATCTTTTTTAACTGTTCAAATGAACTTTTTTAGATTTCGTTTCCTCATCTTTCTATTTCTGCTTTTCCATTTTCCTTTCCGTCGCATCAAGCTATAATCTATGGTTGTTTTACTATAACACTAGTAAATTGTAATTTTTTTTTGTGGTTTCAGATTTTTTCTTAATTACCCGTTGTTTTAAATGAATAACATGTTTTTTCTTTTCACAAGTGTGACCAACTTTTCATTGGTAAAACGAAAGCTATTTTGCATTATAACCCTGGCAAATTTCGGGATTATTTTTGACACATCCCAAAATATTAGATTTATTTTTAGTAAAAAAACTGTCAAGAAAAAATGACCCTATGCAATTGATAACTAACAAAAATTATAATTTTACTATTAATGCACCATTTGAACAAAAAAAAAGTTATATTAAAAAAAGGTTTTTTTAATTAGTTATATATTTTTAGTGAACAGATTTAAGACAAAGTCTATTTTTTTACAACAACCCAAAAGTAAATACAAATCACACACAAATTTTTCTTTTTTTGGAGTAAACAAACCAACTTTATAATGACTTCCCAAATGTACAAATTTTACCTTTGAAATCAAACTTATTGTTTTAATATTGGAATCTAAAAATATCGAAGATCCATGAACCAGAACAGAGCTATAACTTTACCATTAATGTGATTAAAAAGAAATAACACTTTCCAAGGAGGATTGAATTTCATAATAAACCCAATTTCGAATCAAAAAACCAGTTTGTGATAGACAAGATGTCAATGGCAAAATTACAGTAAAAAAACAAGAGAAACAAACCCCGTTTTTTTGGTATTTCTATTGCTTAGTTTTAAGCTTTTTTTTCGAATTGTTTTTCGCTGAAACCATATCCTTGTATATGAAAATAGTCCACAAAAACAACTGAAATTAAGAAGATGTCCACTTTGGTCTCTTAGAACCACAAAGGACCAAAAACCTTTGTATAAAACCAAACTGAAAAGAAACAAATCAAATCACTTCTATGGGAAACAATGGTTCAACTCTACACAAGACTAACTCTCTTATATTCTCACATACTATCGATGTATCAGAGAAACCTATCTTTACTACTTTACAAGATGGATTTCCTCAACCATCTTTCACTAATCATGTCAGCTCTTCTAGAGACATATTGGACTGCCCCATTGATGTCATTTCAACTCCAAGCACTGCTGAAATGATCACACGAAGTACACCACTCCCTTCCCAAAAGTCTAAGCTCTTTAAAAAGCATTTCAATACTAAAAGAGTAAAACAACTGCCGATCATATCAAAGTCGGTTGACTCTTTGGCGCATTTGGACTATTCTGTACTTTGCCCAACTACTGAAAGACTTTCTAATTTGGTACACTTGGAAACTCCTCAAGTCATTTATAACAGTGAAATAGATGGACTTTCTGCAAGAGAATTCAACAGCAAAGTCTTTGGAAAAGGAAATGTGATGGTGTTGGTCACACTTAAAACAGGGGAGACCTTCGGTTGTTACCAAAAATGCCCAATGTCCTTCGAGCAGAAGTTCTCGAACGAAACGTTCTTTGTGTTTAACACGACCAATTACATTCCACTGAAAAGAAAAATTGAAAATAATGCTCCAGAGACTATTCTGCACCAAAATAATGAACCAAAAATGGTGTTCACGTGTAATGGAGCTTTCTGGGTCGTGTCAGACTCTTTGGTATTCTTTCACCCGGCTATTAAATCACTCTTCGGCGGTTCAACTAAAATTGGTAACCCACTTTGCTCGGCTTCTTTATACCACGAGGCACAACTTGAGTCTCTTATTGTTGTCCAATGGGTTTAAAATGTTGGGGAAGTGTATATTCGTATTGTAATTTTATTATTATTTATTATTATTTTGTTTACTTTCTAGTATAATAATAATAAACTTATAGTATCTTTGAATTATTAAGTTTAATTCAAAACAATTATTTTAACTAATATAATTCACAAAAAAATGTGAATTATTATAAACTAATATTTGCAATGATTGACAAATATACGTTTTGAATTATAAAAAAAATATGATTTATTTCACTCAAGAAGTTTTCAACTTGATTTAAAAAATCAACTATTATTTTATTTCATAATATCATAGAATTTAATACAACTATTTAAAACAAACACTAAAAATTATTGACTCAAATTTAATTATAAAAATATTATAATATAACTATATAAAAGTTGTACAATAAAAAACTATTATTAAATTAATGTGTATTATATTGATATTAAAAATGTAATACATTATATATTTATTTATATTATTGATAAATAATATAATTATTAGTGATTGTAAAACTTAAGTAATATAACACTTTTCCTAAACTTCATTAATTATTAATAAACCATTTACAATAATAAAAATAATAATACTTATATAAAATGTTATTAATTATAGTAAACTATTTTGATTCAATTGTTTTATGGAAATTAATAAAACTCAAAAAAACTCAAGAACTTGAAACAATAAAGATTATTATGTTCGGACCGACACTCTCAAATGGACAGTATACCTTCAACTCTTTTGCCGAACCTCTCACACCACGTGGGTCAACTCAACCTTCCCTTTTTGCACCACAACCAGTTTATCCACAAACACCAATTAAGCCACAAGCACAACAATCATTTTTTAACTTCGGTGCTCCTCAACAAACAAGTCTTTTTCAAACACAACCACAACAAATTCAAACAACAAACGTCCCTCCAAGCTATCTCTTTTCTGATATGCTTGAGTCTTCGGGGACATTCTTTTTCAACGCGATCGACTACACCGTCCAAGGAAGTCGCAAAGCGGTTTATGCGGATACTGTGAAGTACGACCCTCAAAAAGGTAGCATCGTTTACAAAGGAATCAATGCCATGCAACAATACACCAATACAACACCCCTCGAGCTCAGAGCAAGAGACTATGCTATGTCAAACAACCAAAGACCTTATCTAAATTGATTTTTAAGTAGAGTTTGGGAGTAATTCAGTTCATTGTGTTTGACAACACGAATTAGCAAAACTCAATTATTGAAAGTCATAGAACTATTCCAAATCAGTTTACAAAAGTGGGACGGTGCCGAAGATGTTGATTGGCGAAACATATATTGGCTTCTGAACGACTTCACAGAAGTGCTGGAATAAGACGTCATGTCTATTAACATACCACGTACTCCACGCGAACTCATTGACATATTCAATCATCTTTTTAGAGAAGAGCATTCCAGGCATGGCTCTGTAAGATTCGTCTGGCCAGAACGGCATCAGTCTGTCGTTTGTGATTGTCAACTTCTCTCGCTGGCTTCTTTGAAGATAAAGTTGAATAAAGCAATCATCACCAAAGAGCGTCTCGACAAAGTTGTTTGTCTTTTTCTGAACAACTTCATAGAGCGTGTTTACTTCGTCGTCTGTCATCTGTCGTGGTGGCGCTATCATAATGATGTCAGTCTCAGCTCCTTCAATTTTTTTCATGTTTGCATAAAGCCATTGCGACATCACCATGTCCTCTTCGTATTGTTTGACAGAGAGTGTTGTGTTTTGGAAACCATAAGCTATAATGCCATTACGGTACGCAAGCTGTACTCTGTGGAGGATGGTGTAGTCGTTTGTCACTGGAATTTGTTGGAAATCTATGCATGGGTGGTGTGGGAGTGTTTGTGGTTTAGTGAATGGGTATGGCAGTACGCGCACCGTAATTTTCTGTGTACATTCCGCCTCCGTACCAAAGCCAACAGCAAAAATTCCTCCAAAAAGGAGCCCCAAGATTATGGTCATTCCGGTCTAGCAATCACAAGTTTTCTCTTTGCTTTTCAATCATGTCATTTTCTCTTCCCTTTTTAAAATGATGGAAAAAGTGATTTTTTTGTTGTTGACTTTTCAAATTTTTTATTATAAATTATTATTACAAATTATTATATGATATGCAATTGTTATAAACAATGCATATCAAAAAATAATATGTTATTTGAGTAAGTTAAGTACTATTTAAATTATAATAAAACATTTAAATAAAATAATAAATAAATTAAATTTATTTAAATTAAATAAAATTTTTAATTATTTTAAATTACTTTTATTTAATACATTTTTTATTTATAATTGTTGTAAAGGCGATCACAGTGAATTTGATAATCATCATGAAGTGTGAAAATCACTATGAAAATAAAAAATCACAGTGAATTTTGAACTCTATTTATATGGTGATGATTTTAAAAATATAACAAAGAAAAAAATTAATTTTACTATACACGATGATGATTTTTAATAATAACTATATTTTTTACTAATTAAGAAACAAACATATTTTTATTTATTAAATTAATTATATATAGTATATATAATCAAAATATATTTATTATTTTGCAATCGAAAGATTATTTCTTATTTTAAAAAAATAAAGAAATAAAAATAAATATTTTTTCAAATATATATAAAAACCGCAATTGAGTTGTGTGAAGGGGGAATTTGTATTTATTGATGGAAAAGTGTTTCCGTTGATCTTGCGGAGACTTTGGATACATCTCCGTAGCCAGTTAGTTACAATTAACACAACAATGAAAGTCCTCCGCTATTTTTTATTAAAACTTTTTTGTTAAAAAAAAACGTGAAAAAATTTGAAATAGTATATTCAATCGTAAATAATCTATAATACAAAATCATCATCTATAAATAAAATGTGCATTTTTCATCATCTAAATATAGAACAATTAACATAAAAAAAGAAAAAAAAAACACAATGTACTAATAATTTGTATTATTATATATAATATCGTAATAGTACACCATTCATAATAGTTTATTATATCATTTAAATTATTGATTATAACATGTTTATCACATTTATCGATTGTAACACCAACAATAAAAAATCGAATAGTCAATAACAATG